ACTAAGTGGAACACCAAGCCCCCAACTTTTGGAAAGTACTCACCCCCTCCCTTCTCTCTCTCTCCTCCTCCCATGTGCCCTCCCCTCCCCTTCTCGTTTCTTTTGTTTGTTTTGGTTTGTTTTGTTTCCTTTGGTAAAAGCGTTTTCTAGTTTATGTGACGTAGCAATATTTGTTGCTTGAATTGCTCTATAGTTTCACTAGTGGATATTTATCTTCTTGAACTGTAGCCTTGTGTCTCACTTTGGGAGTATGCAGAGGCTTTATACTTTACCTTCTACACTTTTATCAAAACAGGGTATATGAACAAATTTTCTATAAAAGGAATTCTTAAATGTGAATTTGTTCGTACATGATTGATCCCACGGGGAAGCAATTTTTTTTATTGCACTTCTTTTAAATAGCGAGAAAGACATCAAAAGCGCTTGGACAGGGACTCCCTGGACAATTATTAATACGTGTAAGTCTTTCAATGTGTGTATGCTGGTGAACATTCAGATTTATTTATATTTTTTTTTGCAAACATTGAATAATCTAAGTGTTTAAAATTTTATTTATCCCCATTTGTTCATATTTATATATATATAAAAAATCTGTACCCTGAATATTCAGGAGGTATTTACCTGGCCATATGTTAGATGGCGTATTGGCACGCATAGGAAATATCATTCGAAAGGAAACTATAACTCCTTTTATTAAAAATGATGATAACGATGATGATGACGATGCAATAAAATCTGGGAAAAAAGATCACGGTTTGAATACTTTATGCTTGTAACATCCAGCTAGGCAGAAAGCGTGTGAAGCTGAAAAGGCTAGATTTGTTTTGAAAGTTATACATTCCTTGCTGCTCACGTTCTGAAAAAAAAAATAAAAAAAAATAAAGTTTTTATTCTGAATAATAAAGAGTTAAGAACATGTTCTTCGCAGCGCAAGGGAAGGGAGAGCCCTTCATGACGTGGGGAGCTGGGAAACTCGTTTGTAAACTCACACGAGGATCCACTCGCCCACCCGAAGGGCCCCGCGACGCCTTTTCAGCATTTCATAGGCAGGGAGAGGGAGTTTTTTTTGCTGCGGTGGGGTTTTTTTCCTTTTTTCCTTTTTTCCTTTTTTTTTTTTTTTTTTTCTTTTTTTTTTTTTCCTCTTTCTCCAGCGGGGTTTCACGGCCCCCCCCCTCGACAGCCGCCTCCTGCCCCCGCTGCGCGGTGCCCGCCCGGCGCGGAGGGCAGGCGGGCGCGGATCTCCCCCTTCCCGCCCCGGGGCTCCGGTGGGGGAGTCCCCCGCCTCCCCGGCAGGCCAGGCGGGGTGTGTGAGTGTGTGTGTGTGTGTGTGTGAAGCACACGGGAGCAGCACTGAGGATCAAGCCCCGCGTGGGCGCGGAGGGGCCGCCCCGTCCGCGGGGCTCGCCCGCTGGGGAAGAGGGGAGCCGGGCGGCTGCCGAGCTGGGGAGAGGGGGTGGCGGAGCAGACCCCCGCCCAAACCCCAAAAGCAGCTGGGGTGGGGGGAAGCCGAGCCCTGCTGCCTCCGGCCACGGCTCCTTCCTCCGGCCACCCCGCCGCCCTTTTTTCCCTTTTCCTTAAAGAAGTGGATTTTATCTTTTTCTTTTATCTTCTTCTTCTTCTTCTTTTTTTTAAATTACTATTTTTTATTGTATTCCGGGGTCGTTTCATTTTTGCTGAGCCGCCTTCCCTCCCCACCGCAGCCTGAAGCTGTGGGGGAGGGGAGCCTGGCGCTCCTTCTCTTCCCGCGGGGGTGTGGATGTGTGTGTGTGCGTGTGTGTGGATGTGTTGCGGGGGGGGTGCAGAGCACACGGTATTGCAGAAGGGCAACTGTCCCGGACCCAAACGGGCACCCGCGGGGGGGGGGGGCCCACCCTCTCGAGGTGGAAGGCAGAAACCCCCAAGCATGTGCTTAAATCCGATTTTTCTTCCTTTCAGGCGAAATGTCCGTAATTTTTAGATTGAAACTTGAAAGATAAATCAAAATGGACCTTAATAGACTGGGTAAAATATACCCCTGCGCGTTTATAAAGACATATTCCTATGCTATGTAGATAATAACGCGCGGTGTTCACCAGCTGTAGCTTTTAGAGCACGGGGAAAAAAAAATGTCGCCATTTTGGTCTCATGCTGAAATATTATTAATCTTTGGGCTTTATCTTGTTCCCAGAGCCACCCTTGCCTGATGCTGAAACATTGTCATGCACCCCTGGATCTATAGAGAGCTTTTCTGCATAACTAGATAAAGCATGCTCAGTCAAGGAAAGGGATTGCAAATATATTTATAGAGCGCTGTTTATTGTATGTATAGATACGTAACCGGGGAAGGAAAGGTTACGTGGGCTGATATTTTTCATTGAAACCCGACTAGTACCCAATACAGACCAACGACTGATTATTATTTTGTAGGAGAAGGAAGCATTTTTGCAAAATTGCAAGACATTGCTCGTTTGGAATGAACCCCCGTATAAAATTCCAGCCGCCCCCCCATGCCCCCCCCCCGGATCGGTTAGGGTAGGTACAACAAAAGGTAACGGTACAGGCGGTGATTCTTACTGTGTGGGTCCTTTAGCACCACGAATTACTTTTAGGAAAATGTTCAAAGAGAAGGAATTTGGCGTTTCACACACACACACCCTCCCCTCCCCATCTCCGGAGAAAGAAAAATACAAAAATACAGGCGATTATGCCTCCTTCTTTCCAGAAACCCTCCTTCTCTGGAGCCTGTAGGTTGCAAATAAGAATTTTGTATTTTTGCATTTAAGATTCGCCCGATTATAAGATCCCTCTGGAGGCAGAAGTAATTGATTTGCCCAAGAATTCTGCTTCCCCTCTCCAAAGGTTTTGTTCCAGGTGGTTTTTGTATTAGACTGACCACAAGAAACAAATGTGCAGAATAGAGACACCCACACAGGTTTTACTCACAAAGCCTGGTTAAAGTCCAAACCTCTCTCTTTATTATTTGTCATCCTGCTGTTAATCCCAATATTTTCCAGAGGGGGAAAAAAATAGAAAAAAAAATTAAAGAAAAGAAAAAGAGAAGCCCGACCCCACGGTAGGCACTGAGAAGCAAAATAAAAACGGACTTTTCCCACAAGCAGCCCAGTCCTCTGCCAGCATATTTTAAAAGCAGCTTTTTTCCTTGTTTACTTGCGTTTCTTGCTCTGCCTCTTTTCTCGGCCACATTTGATCTCGGAAAGAGCAAGAAGCTTTAAATGTGTTCTTAAGGGCCAGTAGCTGTCAAACCTTTTGGCGGCCAAGATTGATCGCGCGCAGACACCACCAGAGCTTTGTTTGGACTAAAAGCAAGAAAATTAAACCCCTTGCATTTTCCAACAGCATCGATATTTGTAAGGCATCCCTTTTGAGGGATTAAATGACAAGTCTCGTTCTATATTTTATTTAAACAAGCAACCACCAAAAAGCCCATTTAAAACCTCCCAGCCCCTCCCCTCCCCCTCTCTCCAATGCCTTCGCAGATATGCTACATCTTGTGGGTGCATTAACTTAAAACCGATTTTTTTTTGAATGCACTTCGTGCAGTCTGGACGCAGACTGATCCGCTGAGTGCTTGGGGTGTCTTGTTTTCTTTTTTTTTTTCTCTCCCCCCCCCCCCCCTTTTTTTTTTTTTTTTTTTTTTTTTAGTATCCCCTTGTGATAGGGGTGGTCAAATAGCTTGTGTATGAGTGAACAGGTGACAGGAAAAAAACCAATTACATTGGAAGCTAATGCTACTGAATTACATCTAGAGCTTCAAAGCATTTTTTAGCACTTGCTTTACCTAATTAGAATGCATAACTACTTGGACACGTGCCCTGTCTCATAGTATGCTCTGCAGTTAAGTTATTCCTAGAGATCCACGCTAATACATCATGCTCACTTCTGCCAGCCTCCCCAAATTCAGTGGTGTGGGATAAGCTGTGCACAGACAGAGCCTCCCTGAAGCTAAGGCCCTTGCATTTTTTTTTTTTTTTTTTTTTTTTTAATTACGAAGAGGCTAGCTGACCCCTTTTTTGGCAACTCCGAAAATAAAGCGACACGGCACGGCGTCGCACTGGCGATGGTCCCTGGTTCCTGGAGGAATCGCAGAACGGCTGGGAAGCGCCTTCTTCCCGGTGTCCCCCCCCTTCCCCCCCGGCGCACCCCAACCCGCCGGGCACCCCGGGCTCCGCGGGAAGGCGAACCCCGTCCGGGCTGCCCGGGGGCAGCTGTTGTGACCACAGGATTCATCAGGCTGGTGATTTGCGGCCGTCAGCGTCATCTCTCTCCCTCTCGCCTCAGCCTGGTTGGAAAATTGTGCCCCAAAAGCATCCAAATTCGGGACTTGCCACGACCTAAGCCGGGGCGACTGGAGACGGCGGCGGCGAGAGCCAAGCGTCGGAGGCGAGTGCCGTCTCTCAAATCATAACCCCGCAGCGTTTTCTCTCTGCCTGGCCCCCTGAAAACAACCCCGCTACCAGCCCATATATTTCCTGGTAATCGAAAATACTCACCAGACCCAGCCTACTACGGTTATTAAGCAAATTATGCCAGCAGACGGGAGTATCGTTTGCAAGCTAAGGCAGAGGATTTGGGTTTTTTTTTAAAGAGGCAACAGCCAGACGCGTTTGCAGCCTCGCGATTTGGCTCGCCCAGAGAGGTTCTCCCAGGGTTATGTTTTACGGTCCAATCCCGGGAAGGCAACTGGAGAGGGAAGTCATGAAGCACAAGGGCTGCTGTCTATGTGACTCTTCCCCTAGAAGCAAGGTTGCTGAGGAAGATCCTGTTAAACAATGGCTCGGCACCGGCGGCCAATTGTTCTTCGTACTGTACACCCGATAGCCACCAAAAAAAAAAAAAAAAAAAAATAACCAAAAAAAAGGAGAAAAAAAAAGGGTTAAAAAAAAAGAAAAAAAAAAAAAAGAAAAAAAAAAAAAGAAAAAAAAAAAAAAAAAGAAAAAAAAGAGAAAAAAAGACACAAGAAAAAAAAAAAAGAAGGAAAAAAAAATAAAAGGAGCCAGCTG